GAGGGAGGGAGGAAAGGAAGAAGGAAGGAAGGAAGGAAGGAAGGAAGGAAGGAAGAAGGAAGGAAGGAAGGAAGAAGGAAGGAAGGAAGGAAAGAAAAGGTGGAGGCCTGGCTCACTGTGGTTGCCCGCCTCTGGCGAAGCTAAAAGAACATGCCAGAGAAAGGATCCTAACGCAAGCAGTTGCTAGGGCGGAGGTGTGCGAGAGGTTTGGGAACCAGAGAAGGGAGTTTGAACCTGCTGGGCTGTGGCCAAGCCTCCTATGTGATGTGAGCTCCCACTGGAGATGAGCCCCGAGGGGCCATCCATCACTGGATGTTTAGGTGTTTCCATTCCTTGCTGTTATAAACAGTAAGAACAAACCACCTTCCACTTTGTAGGCTGGTCTGATTCTTCCCTTAGCCTGAAGGCACTGTCAAGGCTTTGGTAGCCCATTTGCAGGGTGCCTTCTAGAAAGTTCATACCACCTTCACACCCTCCAGAAGCATACACTGGGGCCCTCCACCCTCATCAACACTACGCTGCTAACTCATTTAATTTCTAAAACCAATAACAAATATCAATTCATGGAAAGAGTCAGTGATATGGTTTGGCCATGTCTCTACACAAATCTCATCTTGAATTGTAACTCCCACAGTTCTCACATGTTGTGGGAGGGACCTGGTAGGAGGTAATTGAAACATGAGGCCTGGTCTTTCCCATGCTATTCTCATGATAGTGAATAAGTCTCATGAGATCTGATGGTTTTATAAAGGGGAGTTCCCTTGCACAAGCTCTCTTCTGTCGTTGCTGCCATGTGAGACATGCCTTTCACCTTCTGCCATGATTGTGAGGCCTCCCCAGTCATGTGGAACTGTGAGTTTATTAAACCTCTTTCTTTTGTAAATTGCCCAATCTCAGGTATGTCTTTATCATCAGTGTGAAAACAACTAATACAATTAGTCTGATCTTTAATTACAAAACTAAGAACATAGACTGGACAACCTTGCTTGCCTTATTTCCCTGAGATATTCCAGTTTTTATTTCTTCATATTGGGCAATGAAGACTGTATACTTTTGGTAGCTTGAAGGGTTTTCCTGGGTTTGGGTGTGACTCCTCGGAGCGTGGCTTAGCAGGAAAGTCTACGTCCAATCTCTCTTTTGCTGTGTGAGCACAGCAGTCCGCCAAGGCCACTCCACTCAGCAATCAGCCTTTTCCACTGTGGCTAAACGCGCATCCACATCAGTAGAGAGGAGGCCCTGAAGAGCACGTTTGATCTTAGTGGAAAGCTGGCCCAGGCTGGCATTTTGACATTTGGAAACAGTGAATACAATTACCCATCTGCAGACCAAAAGGGAATTTTTTTTCCCCCTTAAAGGGAATTGAAGGTATTTTGCCCTGTGGTAGTTTCTCTCTTAAGAGGCCCCTTCTGACTTGACTAGTGTGGAGAATCTTCTTCCAGATTTAATTCAGAAGAGTGTGCTCCAGGAAGAGAGGACAGGCTAGTGCCCGAAGTTCCGTCTTCCTCTGGAGTTGACCTTTTAATGAGAGAAGGGTGGAAGGCAGACCAGTGTGAGCCACACGCCCTTTACAGTTGGCTCTCTGCTGTTGCAGACATTGTTTCCTCTGTCTCTAACCTCAGCCCTTGAAGAATGTGTGGTTATTTCATCATCAGCAAGTGGGGAGAATGAGGTCAGACTTCATGTAATTGTCCAAGGTTCCACAGCCAGCCATGTAGAGCTGGGACAGGAAGTCAAGGTTCTTGCCTTCAAATTCAGTTCTTTTCCCGCTTGTTGTGTTTCTCAAAAATGTGTATGCTGTAGTCCTAACCTCCAGTACCTCAGAATGTGACCTTATTTGGAAATAGGTTCATAGCAGATGTAATTATTAATAATTAAGATCAGTTCATACCAGAGTAGTGTGGGCTGTAAATCCAATGACTGGTGTTCTTCTTCTCATTATTTTTTATAGATAGAGTCTTGCTTTGTTGCCCAGGCTGGAGTGCAGTGTCATGATTACAGTTCACTGCTGCCTCAAACTTCTGAGCTCAAGCAATACTCCTGCCTCAGCATCCTGAAATTGGTGTCATTTTTTCAAAAAGCCAAGCTGGACACAATGATGGGTGCCTGTGGTCTCAGCTACTTAGGAGGCTGAGGTGGGAGGATCACTCAAACCCAGGAGTTTGAGACCAGCTTGGGTAACACAGCAAGACTCTACCTAATAAAAGTCACATGGAAAGACAGGGGCACACACAGAAAGAAGACAACGTAAAGACACAGGAAGAAGACGGATAGTCATTTACAAGCCAAGGAACTCCTGCAGCTACCAGGAACTGAAGAGAGGCATGGAGTGGATCCTCCCTCACAGCCTCCAGAAGGAACCAACCCTCCCAACACCTTGCTTTTCAACTCTTAGCCTCCAGAGCTATGAGACAATAAATTGCCACTGTTTAAGCCACCTGCTCTATGGTTCTTAGTTACAGCAGTCCAAGAAATGAATCTACCACTCATCATGATAAACACATTGTAGTTCTTAAGACAATATAATTTATTGAGTGTGTGGCAATAGAATTTATGGAGACTTGTATTCTCTCTCTGTCCCAAACATTCTAGAGCAGAGATGGCTAACTGCTCTTCAGTACACATTCTCCTTCCTTTTACTAAGAGAAACAGCCTCCCCGATTTTAATAGCCAGAGACTATGTTTCCTGGCTTCCCTTGCAGTAAGATACGGCCATGAGACCATGTTCTCACGAGTAGAATATGAGTGGAAATGTTCTGTGCCAATTTCAGCAACATTTTCTTAAATGAAAATTGTTTGCCTTTCAATTTCTCTCTCTTTACCCACGTTGCAGCCTGGAATGTAATCATGGATAGCCATGGATGATCAGCTTCCATCATGTGGTCATGGAACAAGATGGAAGGAAGCTGGGGCCCTGAGTGACCCGTGGAGCAGAGGCCTTTGCCCACCCTGGGCTGCCTGATTTCCCCTGGACTATCATGAGACAGAAGAAAAAGCCTCTATCTATTTGAACCACTGTGTTTTGGGAACCTTGGATTAGAGCAGCTTAGCCTTCGTACGCTAACAAGGTGTATGTATCTGCTCTTTGTTGCTTTTGTAGATAGTTGTGTTATAAGCCTGAATGCAGAAGTTGTCCCCCAGACTACTGGATTTGCTGCCTTTTACAACAGGTTCATTGAAGTATAATTGACATACCATGAACTGCACATAGGTAAAGTATACAATTTGATAAGTTTTGACATATGTATATACCTGTGATATCATCACCACAATCAAAATAATGAACATATTCAACCCCTTGAAAAGTTTTGACTCACTGTTTTTGTTTGTTTGTTTGTTTATTTGTTTGTTTTTCCAGAAGCTTGAACTCTGATGGGAAGGTGAGAGAAAGAAGTGCTTTTGGAAGCATTTGGAGGGAAGAGAGAGACCTTGAAGCTGGGAATGGGGCAAAGGCAGTGAATTATAAAAGACTGGGAATCTGTACCTCCTTCCTTGATGACACCCAAGAGAGTGATGTTTTGTGGACTATAATTTATATCTACTATGTATATGAACTCATGTCACCCTCATAGTGTCTCTTGAACTTAGAGGACTGGCAAAAGCTGGAAGGGGTATGATTTTCATTATATCTAGTCCACTGAGGGCACTGGAGAGACAGGTATCTCTCTATTCTTAGGTCTTGATTAAGAGATGAGGTGGAGAGATTACAGTTTATGCCTTTTAGCTTTTTACCAGCATTATGAGTTCACCTATGTTAAGAACTGTACAGGGGCTGAGATTTCTCCCTACTTGCAAACTAACAAGTGAGCCCATCACAATTTCCTGGATGCTTGCAGAAGACATGAGACTCTTGGATTACAGACAAAGGACAGTATACTACTGACTAGATAGAAGTAGGCAGAATATCGTCATTTTCTTGTGCAATTCCCCGAGCCCTAATTTCCATAAGGTGACAAGAGGAGGGGCAGGTGATGCCTACACAGCTTGCATTTTTGGTGAGGAGCTCTGAGCTTAGGCAACTGAAGTCTTTAATAATCTGCAGTAAACTTTCATCCTCTTTGTTTTGGAAAGAAACACTATCTTTATCTTCCAAGATTGTGAGCAAATCTACCCTTTGTTCTGGAATAAGACACTCTATAGTCTCAGGCTGTTTCTTTACCAACAGCAACAAGTTAGTCTTAAACAAAGGAACCTCAGTACCTCACTTTCAAGACAATCAAGATTATTTCCCAACATTCTACTAGTAGAGGGTCAGTAACAGAGTTAAAAGTTCTCAGACTGGGGGTAGAACTGAAAACCCAGTTGAGAAGTATCAAGCCGCCCTCCTTCCCCAAAGCTACATATTCTTGTATTAGGGTCTTACCAGGAAATGGAGGGCACATTTACACAGGGCAGCCAAAGAGACTGTTTCAAAGGAAACCAGCAAGATGTGACAAAGCACCCCAAGACTAGCGACATTAGGAGACCTTCTCACTTGACTTAAAGGGCTGGGGCAGGTGAGTTACAGGACCCAGTAGTAGCTGTAGCCAAAGCTCTGGGCAGGGCCACCTAACACAAGCTGCACCCTTCTGTAGAGCAGCACAGACCTTGTGCATCTGAGGCCCAGCAGGTTGGGGCCTTCCTCATCCTTCCCTTGCAGCTTTTGCCAATGCTTCCTGTTGCCTGAACCCAGCTGGAAGCCAGAGGGCAAGGGAAATCAATTGACACAGATAATGAAGGTAATCCCCCAGGCACAGGGCAGTATAGCAGAGGTGAGGAGTCTGTCTAGGGCCACAAAGGAAGCCCACGAAGCACTCAGAGGACTGAGTCCAGAGGGGAAAGCAGTCACTTATCCCCAAAGAAATCTGTCACACATTTGGGCTTTGATTTATCAATGAGAAGGCTTGAGGGACAGTGGGAAAAATGATGAGTCATTAGCTCCTTGTGGAAATGGTGCCCTTGAAGGATGAACCTGTAATCACAAGGTACATGTGGGTGAATGTTGGTGTAACAGGTGGAGGGAATGAAAGGACAGAGAGAGCATGAGAACACTGTAAGCGGAGCAGAAGTCCATGCAAAAGCTAGAGACGTGAGACAGCAGGGTACATTTAGGGACCCGCAGGTGGTCTGGAGTGGTTTTGCTGTGGGCTGTGATGAGATATCCACCGTGTTGGAGCTCTTGAACAAAAAGGAGATCATCTAAGCTGCTTGTTTCTGTTTTTTTCTTTTCTTTTTTTTTCCTGATGGATTTCAATTAGGTGAGGGGTACTAGGCAGAAACCCCTCCTGAATACAAACCCTCTGTCTTATTCTACCAATTAAAGATGAACAATGGCTCACTTCCTATTGGGTACTGTGTTCATTATTTGGGTGACAGGATCAGTAGAAGCCCAAACCTCAGCATCAGGCAATATACCCATGTGACAAACCTGTATCCCCTAAATCTAACATAATAATGAAAAAGATGTACCATTGCTCTTAATTGCTCTTTCACCACCACTAGAGAAAGCCATTTCCACCCCAATCTGAATTAAAGAATTCCTCAGTCTCCTACAGTCAAAAAGGTAGACTTCAGTTAAAGAGAAAGCTGGTGCTCCTCTTGCTAGCTGAATGAACTCTGATCTTCTTTTTCATTTTTATTTTCTTGCTTGAGCTCTGCTTTGTTAAATCAAACACCAGCCCATGACTGAGCCCATGGTTCACCATAGTGGCAGTCTTATCCTAGAATCTCAGGGCTGGAAGGAACTCTCTAAGCACAACATTCTCCAGTGTTGGGTGTCGGCAGGAGCTGAGTTGGTCTCTTTTTAGAGCTTCGTGGAGAGTCTATAAAAACCTGGCTCTGGAACTCTTATATTTGGAGGCTGAGATTCAGAAGGCCTGGGATGGGACTTGGGAATATAAATTCTTTTTAATTTTTTTTTCTTTTCCTTAAATAAATCTTAGAAACCAAAGGGAATTGAATTCTTAAGAAGACCTGAAAATGATTCTAATTTAGTTGGGTTGGAGGAAATCTGGTCTTGAACTTTTTCTTGGGAGATGTGGTGAGTCCAAGGCAAGCCAGGCTTCAATTCTCCATCTATACTCTTTCCACATATCTATGTGGCCTCTGTGCAGAGTCTGAGTTTTATGTTCTACAAAGAAAACTAGGAGAAAAACTGTTATTCTTCTGATTAACAGGAAAGTTGTCCAACTGGCTACACTTGAATTATAACCCCTGAATGTTAAACTGAGGCTCCTTTAGTTTTCATTTATTTTATTGCATTGGATGGAGATGTTTTAAAAGAGGAAGGCGAGGGGTGTTGGGGAAGGATTCTGGGATAGTGGCCATTCTCACCCCATGCAGAAGGCCAATATTCCTTCCAGAAGGAGACACAAGGAATCCTTCACTGAGTGAAAGGTTTTTTTCTTCCAGAGAATATCAGGATTTATACTTTATAACAAGCCAAGAGCTTTTTCTGGTTCCTGATTTAAAAATGGGTTCCTGACTGCACAGTTCTCGCACAATAGCTTCCTTCCCGCAGGGGCAGCGTGATTGCCTGGAATATGAATTCTTAGGGGACCAACCAGGGATCATGAGCAATTATTAATATGTTCTCTGCTGCTCTTAACATGTTGTGATTCTCAATAAATAATCCAGAGACAAAGCATGGTGTTTTGTTTTGCTTTGTCCCAATGAATTTTCCAAACTGTATTTACTATCTCAAAGTGAGAGCATCGCAATTTTCAGAGCCAACTGCAACAATTTTCCAGGTCTGGAGAGTATTTTTGAAGATTATTTCTTTGAAGGTTTTCTCTCTTATTTGGTTTGTTTCCTCTTTGATAATTTTTATTATTCATATGTTGAATTTCTTGAACAGAGCTTTAATTTTCTTATCTTTTCTCCCCCTTTCTTCCATTTTTTTCTTCGCCACTTTTGTCTACCTTCTGGGATATTTTCTCAAATTTTTTCTTCTAAACTTTTACTTTTATCTTTTCTGTGATTATAATTTTAAATTCCAAAATAACTTTTTTTGCAGCGGGGAGTGGAAGGAAGTATTCTCTGACTGTTCCTTTTATATAGTAGCCTGTTCTTATTTCATGGATGTAATATCTTTTCTCTTTCTTTCATAGTCTGTTTTCCCCAAGTTACTTTTTTCCCTTGTTTGTTTGTTTGTGTCTCTGTATTTCATCTTGGAGCATTCCTTAGGTGTTTGGTGATTTCTTCCTTCTCCCTCTCTCTGCTGCCTGCATTGTTATAATCATCTCTGAGCTGACTCCCCCACTTAGGTCTTTCTCATTTTCTAGTAAACTTGGCATAATCCTGTGAAACCCATCTTTTTTAAGCCCCCAATTCAACACATGATTCTGTTGGTGAAAAGCCTTCGATGGCTCCATACTTCCCACTTCATCAGAACTTAACTTTGCCATTTTTGACATTTTCAATCTCTGACCCCACTCAGGCTATGCACCACACCTCTTGCCTCAGAATGTGGAGACTCTTATATGTTCAAAGCTGGCGATTAGTAAATAATACTATTACAAGTAGTAGTAATCAGTGATGATAAAGCCTCCTTGTGCTTTATTCACAGACATTATTGACTTCTCCTATTAGCTCTGAAATGCTTACATCATGATGCCCATTTTTCAGGTAAAGAAATAGTGGCTCAAACAAGGTAAATGGCCAAAGATAACATAGCTCATATGTAGCAAAGCAGGGACTTTTATCTGGGTCTCAGTACTTTGTCCACCACGGTCTCCACTGGTTGATTCAGGTGATTCACCTGCATGACAATGCTTCCTGAAGGCCACCTGCTGGCAAATGTCATTGTCAGTTCATTGACCAGGAGCCCCCATGTGTTTCTACCAAGACCCTGTTCCTCTCTTCACATACAGTAATCTGTTGCATACACTTTGTACCTCACCCACAAGCGTGTGAAAATTCTCAGCTGTTCTGGTGCCAGGACTAATGGGAGCTGCTTACAGTCTATGAGGACAATCAAACTTGGCCTCCTGCCTTCTTTCCATATAATTTTTAATAAGTCAGTAATATCTCTCCAAGCACTACAGACCTCTGGCTTGGACCAAGAAACCTGGAACTGTTTAAGAGAACATTAATTTCCTTTGGGCTAGGATTATAGGCCATCTAAAACTTCTTAATGAATGGCCACACTGCCTTTTTGAAGCATTTGTATATTTGCCAACACAGACTTAAAGGTTACGTTAGATATTGGGAGTTGTCTTTTCTGGAAGTTAGGGTCTTCTAGAAGCTGACAGGTGATGGAGGCCTGATACTCTGCCATTTCTTTGCTGAGACCTCTGTACTGCTTCGTTCATAGTCCTCTCTCCCACATATGCTCCCCTGATGTCTTACTTTTATTTTATGGGTTTTTGGTAACTGAAACATTTAAGACTCAATTCCGCCACTTTATTGAAGATAAAATCAAGTTCAAACCCTGCTTTATTTTATTTTTCAATTTTTTTTTTGGACTGAACTAGTGAGGAAACTGTGTGTGCAAGCCCCAGAAAACCCACTTGAGACCTGATGCTAATTGGCTGGATGATGTTCAACAGGACACGGCTCCACTGAGCTTCATTTTTCTGATGAGGGTTAAACTGATGATTCTTAACCGGCTCTGACATTCTGTAAATTCAGCATACTTGCTTCTGATTTCACAGTTTCCATGGGATCAGAGGATTGAAATGGCAATGTCCCCTTAAGACTCTAAATTGAACTGT